AGTGTATTTTACAACATATTATCTACACCATCCATTTTCAAGATTTCATAGGTTTATAGATCTACTTGATTTTAACCATTTTTGAAATTTAAAATTTTATAATTAGATATAAAAATAAATTTGAGATAATCCTAAAAACATTTTACATCAAAATTATATACCATTATAAAATTTGAAGGTGCACCTTACCTCTACACTTACGGATGCATCCATATGCAAACTGCGCCCATTGAATAAACCTCACTTTCACTCTCTTAATTTTTCTTTTATAGAAAAATCAACCATTACATTTCAAGTTTACCGTTCTACCCGTGCATCTATTTAATAGGACAGAAAACCCATCATTCTTTTCCTATAAAAAACAAAAAAAATGTGTTGTAAAAAATATAATTTCTCCTCCTAATTTGGGCCGGCCGGTCTAGTTAAACCGGTTTACCGTTGGTTCAAGTACCTCCCCTGCTCATTGGCTGAGCCAAAACGATAAAGGCACCAGTTCATTGGGATCACATCTATGCAGAGAACGTATTCAAGCAACTTAATGCCATGCATAGGACGTATTCAAACAATTTAACATCATATTCCGGGGACATATTCAAACTGTTTAATGGTGACATTCAAATAGTTTAACATCATGTCAGGGACATACTTACACAGTTTAACGCCATGTGGTGGACGTATTCAGATTTTAGACTTGAAATTCTGAAATAATTTTGGAAAGTAGAAAAAATGAAATTTTTGAAAAAAGATAGGTCATACAGTTTAGCCTCATATAAACCTCTTGGTAGAATTGAATTTTTATTTTATACATTTATTTTATTTTTTGAAATCATGATCTTTGAATTCTAATTTTATTATTATTTGTTATTTTTTCCATCTCATTTTAATGTTTTTCTCTTCTTCTTCTTTTCCTCTTCTTTCCTTTTTTTTTTTTTCTTTTTTTTTTTTTTTTTTTTTTTTTTTCAAGACTTTGTGTTTGTGATTTCAATAACTTTAAAATCTTTGCTAAAATTGTAAACCCAGCATTATCTCTATTTCTAAAATGTTCACCCCATTACTAATAATGTTTTAAAAAACAAAGGGAACATACCAAAGCTCACACATGATGATATCTGCTTTTCCATAAAGAAAACCTAAACCCCATAGTAGGGAAACTTAATGGATTGGTGGTCATAGTAGGGAAACTTAAAGGATTGGTGGTTAGGGTGGTAGACGCCGTAACATTATGTCTTTGAGTCCCATTCCTACTAAGGGCAGGTGACTCTTTCCCCATTGATCTAAATAAAAGGCAAAAAGGAAACCTAAGACAATAAGGTACGCTGTTTAGCTCCATTTTTTCAATTCAAAGCTTTAAAAACCTAAAATAAGTGGTGTAATGGAGCCTAGGCAGAAGTCCGACACGTTATGTGGTGAAATACATCTGAAAAATGCTTAGGTAGAAAAATTATAGCAAAATACCTTGAAGTTTATTGTGGACGACTGAGAAGAACGGTGGTTGATGTGACCCATTTGATTATGGGGGTTTAAGTTTTCATCCATTGCAAGTTTCTACTTCTTTGTCATTCTCCCATTCCTTGAAAATAGGGAGAACCAAAGAGGGAGAACTATATCCTTGAAAATAGGGAGAACCAAAGAGGGGGAACTATAGCAACTATAGACACCCATTTTGAAATTGGTTTGATTTTTGAGTTTCTGGACCCAGATTGTACTAGCCTAATGAACCATGTAAAACAGGAAACTATAATCCATACCTAAATCATAGTTCAATCATAGAATATTCTTTAGAATATATGCCTTTTAGAGAGTTGATGAGGCTCGTGAGAGGGGTAACGGGTGAGCTCAGGTGATAGGAATTTGATGGGTCCCTCGAGGCATCATACTAGGTCAGAAATAGGCAAGGCCATAGACGGTGATGGTGATGGCAATGATGAGTAGGCAAAAGACTTGGAGGAGCATCGTATGGATGAGGAAGAGGAGGAGGATGATAAGTCCAATTCTTCTGATGGTGGTGAGGACGGGGGATGTCTTGAGTCTAGCAAGCATGCTTCTCCTTCTAGACCAGAGAGAATAGAAGCTCGAGCTTGAGCTCGCACGGTTGGGAGCAGGAGATGCTGGACATAGAGGCCGAGATTTTAACGAAGGAGATTGATTTGGATGAGGAGTTGGACCCCTGAGTGTAGATGAGACCCACTGGCATTCTTGATATACCTATTTGACTCATTCCTCTTTGTTGACACTTTGAAGGGATGGACCAAATACAATGTACTCCAGGTGACTTGCATATAAGGTATTTAGAGAGAATGGCTTGGGAGCCTGTCATACTTGGCTTCAAGTATTACAGCCTCCTGAGTGTTGCATTGTGGCAAGTTCACTTCCTTGGAGGTTGCTTCAAGTACCTTACAGTCCTTACTCTTTGTTATTACTATGATCCCCAAACCTGCTTCCTGAGGTTGGCTTCTCACATAAAAACCAAATTTCGAAGTTGAATCCAACGGTTGGAGGTATTTCTCAGGGTATGTAGTCGAAATTTCGACTTTATTAGCCTAGCCAAAGTTGGTAGAATTTAATTTTGGACATTGTTAACAGAGTCTAAAATGCTTGCTCTGCCTTCCTCTATGTACCTTACACTCTTTACACTCCTTTATTATTACTGGAAATTTATACTTTGTTAACCTATTTTTTGATCTCTTTCTGAGATTGATTCAATTGTGGATTATAATTTGATAGAATCTTTATCTCTATCGATTGTTTTTAATTCAACTTATTTGAAAATCCAAATCAAGGTGAGGTTTGCATTTGATCTCTCCTGGATTTGCTCATTACACAATGTCAGGATGGCGGTGAAAACGATGATAATTGGTATTCAGTTTTAAAACCTTGCTGAAATCAAGATTTTTGTATATTAAAATGCTCATAATTTCCTTGATCTAGGGAGTTTTTGAGTGATTCTTGGTGCAAAAATGATCGTGGGATTAAGTCCTATGAATTTTTGGTGATTGAATCCCAAAATCATTAGGTGAGGTTTAAGAAAATCATTTGGTAAGGTTTAAGAGCTCATGAGTTCTAGGGTGACAAACCCTTTTCCTAGAGCGAAAACCCTAACCCTCCATCCTTAACCTTGATTAAGCCCCACCCCAAGTCAATTACCTTGAACAAACAAAGTAAAGACAAGTCTACTCACCCTCCAAAAACCCTCAAGAATGTAGATATTGGGACAACCTTCCTCACTCAAGGCCTGAAACAAGGGGGTTAGGAGGGGATTGATGGACTTTTTTACCCTAAAATCCGAAGGCTTTGGTCTCTTCGGTCGAAGCTAAGTGAATTTGATAATACTAATGTGCGTACAATTTAAAATTGTCGCTTTATTAAAAAAAAAGAAAAAAAGGAGTCACAAAAAAATTCTATTAAACAAGCACAACTGCACACATCAATGCATAGATCGGCACCTCACCAGGATTATGATTTGTATGTTTTTTCGAAATGTACTTTGCTTCGTTGACGTGGGAATAAAAAAAATTACCAATTACCATTCAGAAAAAAAAAAACGTAACACCTTATATAATTTTTTTCTTAAAGTGTGAGAAGTAATGATCATGCGAGAATTTAAAATCTTTGGACTACAAAATTAGGGAAATTTAAAAAGAACCTTTTTTATTCATTAAAGCAGTCTCATATATTTATATTTTACATTTAGGCTCCACTTTTGAAAAGCATGTAGTATATTTTTAATTTTATAGATAGATTGAGCTCATATTGATCATTGTTTGGATTAACATCTATAAAAATATTTAAAGAATAATTTTAAATAAAAAATGCCGAAATATATATATTTAAATAATTGTATAAAATATTTTTTATGTGAAAAATATGAACATACTACATTTTAATTGAATCTAATGTATAGAAAAATAAATAAAATTAAAATACGTTATATAGTCTAAAAAAGTTAAACTTGAATGTAAAATATGACATATAAAAAACTATTTTTAATTTTCAGGAATTCATCAAATTACCTCTAAGAGTTCAACTATTTAATAATGTACCTTTTCGAAACTATTCCAACACAGGAGCATGCGTTATTTAATGGACATTTTGAAACTAAATAAAAAGATTTGGATAGAGTATTCAATTGTTAAGGATGCAGTTTCAATGAAGCCTAAGCTTCACGAAAAAAAAGTAAGGGCTTGCCTCAAAACACCTTGCCGAAAAACACTTCGGTATCGGAAATTTTTAGAATGAGTTTCTATAAGGAATAGGCTTCACAATACCAAATAAAGCCTCACCTCAAATCCTCGTCTCGAAAGCACTTTTGGCAAAGAAAATCTTTATGATGACTTTAAAATCAATTTCCCACTTTGAAAATAAAATTTGAAACTAAAAAAATTGAACATATCTTGCGGATCTTTAACCACTTACTTTAGGGCGAAATGGTCAATCTAGACAATTTCTTAAAATATACACTATTTTTAGAGCTTGAAGTTTTTTTTTTAATGTTTAAATTGAGATGATCGATGAAAAGGTTTTTCAATACTTGAATTGCAATTTTCGACGAGTTATGAGGTATGGCTTTACTTATTTTGATAGGGTTGTAACCCTATCAAACCATTTTCCAAGCTTTTTAAATTTTTATTATGACTCTTAAATCAATTTCTACCATTGATCATGAAATTTAAACCTCAAAAAATAATATAAATCTTACAGATTTATGAACACTTGAAAATAAATGATCTAGATAACAAGTTATAATATTTGCTATTTTCGGATCAATTTTTTTTTTCACTACAATTCTTTTAGTTTTGAGGTCAAGCTTTACTCTTATTTATTTATTTATTTATTTAAGTTTTGAGGTCAAGCTTTACTCTCTTTATTATTATTATTATTATTATAAGACCTAGGCCTTTTTTTAATTTTTTCCAATTGTTGATCTGTCTGGAATAATCTCCTAATTTTCCCTAAAAAAGTAGATTTTTTGAGTATATTTCCAAAAAAAATTTATGACTACCTCGCCGATCCTTCGTCACGCAAGGGACAGAGCTCCGACGTCTCAGTCTGCGACTTGTGGCCACAAAAAAAGCGAGTGTCCTAGAACAAACCCCGACTCTCTTCTTCATCATCACATTTTCGTACATATTACTCTCTATCTCTCTCTCTGTAACGCACGCGTTTAATCACCGTGAGCAATCTCTCTCTCTTTCTCAGAGGAAGCAGATTTTAATCCATTAGCGGTTGTTGTTCCCCATTTTCTCTTGTTCATTATGCTTTCACGAACAGCGTCATGATCGACCTCCATTGATTGTGCTTCTCCTAGCCTTCTGTTACGAAACCTAAGCTCCACAATGGCTTGCTTTCAGATGACAAAGCCTTCTTTGTCTCCTTTGCTTTGGTGCAAATCCAACTGCTTTTGCTCGGAGCACCATAACGTTCACATACGTTTGTATTCTAGGGTTTTACATGCGAGGTTCAGAGGGTCTTTGACTGTTCGTTGCAAGCTCTCAGAGGACAATAGTGACTCTAATGGTTGGTCTCCTTGCCTTTATCCAGTCTGAAATTGCTTTCTTTTCCTTACCGCTTTGCCGTAGGTATTGGAAAATTTGTTTGTTACTGTAAGGATTTGATGAAGATCATTATAAGATCGGCTTCTCTGCTTTTTGGAGGTTTCTTTTGTTAATAGAGGGGGTGTGATTTGAATTTGGTTTTGCCTTTACGAGTCAGTACTTTCATTTATCAATATAGGATGGCTATGAAATTGATAGCGTTCATGGGTGTTCTGTTGCTGTTATTACTTTGAGTTGGGACTTGGTCATCTGGTTAATGAACTGGGACTTGTGGGTATATATCCATCTACTTTATTTTTGTTTTGGTTCTTAGTATTTGATGTGAATTAGCGGTTCCATTGTGCCCTTTATGCACAAATTTTTATCTGGTTGAGGATTATCCTCCGCATGATGCTTGAGAGTGTGAGTTTGTAAATGGTAATTAGCACAAAACATGTCAAATCTCTTGAATAGGAACTTGAGTTTCTTTAAAGAATTATACGTGTAATTTGAATAAAATGTTATCAAAGATATTAATGAATTTGGACTTGTTAATACATAGGCATTTAGTTTTATTTTGGTTTTTAGCATGTGGATATGAATTAGTGCTTTCATTGTCTCCTTTTTACCTTGCTTTTTATCAATGTGTGATTGTCCAAATAATGCTTGAGAAATGCTAGTTTGGGTATGGTATCAGCAAAATCTTATTGAATCTCTTGAATAGGAACTTGAATTTCTTAATTGAACGATATGTATAATTTGAATAAAATATCATCAGACGTATTAATTTAAGATGGAATGGTATTAAATAATTTAGATGCGGTTTTAGTGCGTGAATCTTAAAACTGAACATTGCCTGAAGTGTTATTCCTTTGTTTATTGATGAGCATTGATTGTAGGCCATGGAAATGGTTTCCTGTGATGACACAAGCGATTCACGGGTTGAGGTGTGTTGCCAAACTGTTACTGATTGAAGCTGCAATTGCATGCAGTTTGGGTTTAAGGGCTTATCAATATGTGGTTGGGGATCATTGTCCAGATGATTCATGAGAGATGCTAGTTTGGATATGGTATTAGCACAAAACATGTTGGTTCTATTGAATAGGAATTTGAATTTTTGTAATGAATTAATAGGAATTTGAATTTTTGTAATGAATTATACATAATAATTTCAATTGCATGCAGTTTGGGTTTAAGGGCTTATCAATATGTGCTTGGGGATCATTGTCCAGATGATTCATGAGAGACGCTAGTTTGGATATGGTATTAGCACAAAACATGTTGGCTCTATTGAATAGGAATTTGAATTTTTGTAATGAATTATACATAATAATTTCAATAAAGTGTTCTCAGCCATCTGCATTTAGGATTAAATGTTATTAATTTAACATGGTATAGGTGTGTGGACCTTGAAATTGAACATTACTTATTGGAATTGGCCATGTAAAGGGTTACCTGTGATGGTTGTCCTTCATTAATCCTTCTTTAAAGGCTTTGATATACCATTATGATTTTTAGGAATCTCACATGTAAGGTGGTGGAGCATTAAGAGCCTTCTTGTATGATGACTATCATTGGTTTGATTAACAATGTCAATGTTTGTTTTGATTTTATGACTTTAGCTCAAATTGTGAGGCATTTATAGAACGGGTAATGCGTTAATATAGTTACAATCCCAACCCTAGTTGTTCATTTCAAATAATGCATGAGGTGCTCAACTGCAAACTATGGAGAGTATCAATATTTATCCCTACTAACATAGATCAGCAACCGGTGAGGCAAATATCTTAATATGAGGCATGTGTCTCCTAATTTCCTGAAAATGGTCAACAAAGAAGAGAAATTGCAGATTTTATTTTAGGATTTGCAAACTTAACGTCTGTCTTTAATTCTAGAAGCCATTGGGCATCCTCCCATCAGCATTTATTCTGAAATATTTAATCCATCATCTATAAACTTATTAACTCAATACCTCTATGAACTTATTAAGTCAATAACTCTAATGTTTTAACATAAAGTTACAAGGATTACCCTGTTGTGGGTTTGGCTGCAAATAACATGTGAATTACCAATCATTACTGTTAGTCTCTTTGGATAAAAGCATCAAAGTTAGGGGAGTTTGTGTTCCTCAGCCACTAGGAGAAAAGAAACACTCCCCGTTCTAACATCACCCTGGATTCATTGCATGTGAAACCCTTTTACCTATCTGGCCTTATCCGGAAAAAGAAAGAACAAGGACAAACATACATGGCTTACATAGTTGGTGATTTCTAATAGGAAAAAGAAAAGAAATGCTGAGTGGCCAGTCCCTGAATGCTGTTCTGTGACTGCTCGATCTTAAGCAACTGTTCTGACTGGCTTGATCAACTTTGGCAGCTCTGGGTTTTCTTTCTATCGTTTGGTTTTTTATTTTTGAAAGAAGAAGAGAGGAGAGGGGGGCAGGGGGTGGTTGATCGATAATGGGCCCAGCTAGGTAGAGCATGACCGACCTCTCTATCATGTTTCGCATAGTAGGTCAGCACATATTTGAATGGACTACTGCTGCATTTGAGAGAAGTAAAACGGGTGTCAAAACCATAATGTTTTGCCACCATTTCCAAATTTAAACGTCTTGACTAATGCCTCACCTCTAGTTAAATATGCCCAGATTATCCCTCAGCTTGAATTACTAAGGCATATGATTAGCATCACATGTAAGTTTAATCTCTTTTTGTGTTTATATTACTCTCTTGTTCACTACTCTCTATTGATGCTTTATTTTCAATTTCTAAACCATAAACACACACATATTTATATATTTATTTATTTATCTATATCTTAGGTTGGATGATAAATGGGCTTGATTATATATCAATTCTTTTACTTTACGGTATGGACTATTTTATGGGCTACAATTTTCAATATATTTTGGGTGCTTCAGATATAATCTGTGATGGTCCTCCATATTACTTTGTGTAATAAATATTGAATGCATGTTTGTGCTACATTATCATACGCATTCACTGAAACACTAGTGTCCTAACCTTGATGCCTAGCCATAGGTATGTATAAGACCCAATGAATGCATAATTCTTACAATAACTTTGTCCCCCCTCCCCTTCTTTTTTCTTTTGGTCACTTCTTCTCAAACATTTCCATGTAATACATTCTCAAACTTTTGGTCACTTCTTTTGGTCACTCTCTTGTAGAAGGAGAATATCGTTTTCTTTATCTGATATAGTTGTTTAACTTGTTCTCTGTTTAGTTGGTTGAATGGTTGTCATAGGATGTATTCACTTTCCTTTGCAGAATTGTCATATGAATGATAATTTGTAGGTGAGGAGCCTCCAGAATCATTGTTCATGAAGGAGTTGAGGAAAAGGGGTTTGACTCCTACATCACTCCTTGAAGACAGCGAGAACAGCTCTTATGGTCCTGGAGTGGATGATATGAAAGTGAAAGAAAAGAACGTGAGCCTGAGAAACAGATTGACTTCAACAGAGATTGACAAGAGTCTAGCAAACCAAAGAGAGCGATCTATTGCCCTCAATAGTGAAGGTCTTGAGGTAAATATATATCTTCCATTTCTATCATAAGTACATTATCCTCTATTCTTTAATTTTAGGGAAATTTATCAAAAAACACCTAATATTTGAACAATTTAACAATTCACTCTTTTTCAACTAATTCAACTCATGATCATGTGTATTTTGAATTAAATAAACGATATGGGTAAAATGTTGAATATGATAAATTCTCCTTAATTTTATATTACTCTTTTTATTGGAAATTGAAGTTGTAGAACATATAATCACCTTCTTGATGTTTGTGAGGAAGAAACATTTATTGCTTTTTCAATATTCCCTGAGTGGAAATAGCAGGTGTAGAACATATAATCGCCTTCTTGATGTTTGTGAGGAAGAAGCATTTCTTGCTTTTCAATGTTCCCTGATTGGTCTACCTATCTATGACCAGGTTAGCTACCTAGATTGGACTGCAGTAGTTGAAGGTTTCCTTAACATGTGGGCTGATTCAGAATATCTCTTTTTCTTTTTCTTTTTTTTTTTTTGTGATAAAGTTGACCATATTGTATTACTGTAAAAGATCACAGATTGCAAGTATCTATTGTCATTGCAGAATATCCAGTGAAAATGAGCAGTGGGTTACAATGAGAATCTTGAGATGTCATGTACCAAGAGGTGTGGTCCATGAAACCAATCTAAGGGTGGTTAATCTCAGGACTGGGGCTAAGAGCCCCTTATTTGGCGAAGCTATCCAAAATATTGTTAACCTCGTGCAAGGTGTGATGGAAGGAGATGTGCAAAGAGTTACTCAGCTTAGAGATTTGGCAGAAGAATTGATCAAGCCTCCAAATCATAGTTGCAAGAACCTTTGGGGGTAAGGCCATGGTCCCACATTAGGAACTCGATCCCGCGGTTCCTCGTAAGGGATCTTAGAAGGAGCTGGGTTTAGAGAAATAGGGATCTAGCTCCCAATAAAATTGGATCTCGATCTGCTTGCTTGTAGGATCCCTCTAAGAAGAGGATCTACACTATTAATTGAACGGCTGGTCCTCTCCTTGGTATTATAGATTTATTTCTTTAGAATATGTTAAACTGTGGGGCATTTCACATTGTGGTATACTCGAATTATGTTATTTAAAAACTGCAGTTTAATATTGTAGTAAGCCAATTTATGATATTATTAAACTATGTTATGGTAGTAAATTGGAGTACTATAACTATGGCATTGGTAATATGCTAAGGTGTATAACAATGGATTGAGTGGGCATGGGCTCGATCCTAATTTTATCATATAACTATTAATTGGTTTCGTTTTATGTATAGTGGAGCTTGGATCCCTCCAATTCAAAACTTGAACCCCAGTGACATGGGATCTCACTCCCAAATATCCTAAGATCTAGCTCCTTAACTTGTTGAATGCACGGATGCTGATCCTAACACAAGGAGCTTCACCCTATGACGGTTCGGCGTTCCCTGAACAGGTCCCGCTCCCATCCCCAACAACTATGCTCCAGATATTTTGTTGGCCCATTTTATGTTTTTTTTAGAGCTACCCTCTACAAGCGGAGTGGAGCTCCACCTTAGCCATGGTTGAAATCACCACTCAAAGGGTCTCAAATAGGATAGGAGAAAAGCACTTGAACTATCTCTAAAAATACTGCCAATACGTACTATTCCCAGATCACCAAGTACCAAGCAAACACCCATCAAAATGAAGTTTGATGGTGTCAGGTTCCAGAGCAAACTAGTAAGAGGTACCTGAAACAGGCCTCGCTTTTCGACCTTGTGATTGTTCCCCAATTTATTTAGAAGGCCCTGAAACAAGGTAGGTTTTGAAAAAGAAGAGACAACAAAGCAACATATGCACAAAACATTTTGGGGTCTGAGGCCTCAGTCATTGTTCACCTCCACCATTGCAAGAATCTGATGCATCTCAGCCTACAAGGGAGGCATATACATCGCAGCTCACAAGGGAGCAAAAAAATGCGAGCACAAAAGATGGGAAGAGATCGGCGTCTGATCATCGTTTGTTAACTCTTAGCACAATAACATTTTGGGGTCTGAGGCCTCAGTCATTGTTCACCTCCACCACTGCAAAGATCCGATGCATCTCAGTCAACAAGGGATGCATATACATCGCAGCTCACAAGGAAGCAAAGAAATGCGAGCGCAAAAGATGGGAAGAGATCGGCGTCTTCCTCCTCCTGTGAACTGGAATGATATCTACAATCTTTATCCCAAAACCCTTTGCTTTTCCACCACCTAGATCTGTTGCTTTTCCACTGTAGTCTTCTCATTTGACAACCTCCTCCCATCTCAGCGTTTCTTTCTCTCAGGTGGTAGCCTCCTCCAAGCCAGCTACCACCATCCACCAAACCCCCTCTCTGCTGCCTAAAAAGAAACCAAGTCGTACTGTCAAGCCTCCCCTCCTCCCCTTCTATATTTCTACCCCCCTGACGAGGTTGCAAAGACTAAGTCTAAGCTTCTAGCGTCTTTGGTTGGAAGTTTCCAACATAGTCGTGATGAAATAAGAGGGATTGAAAAGGGTGCTCAAAGACATTGGGGGGAGCCCAACCTCAGTTGCAGACTCCTTTCAAGTGGCGACATTCTCTTCTCCTTCCCTTCCCCTACAAGTGCTCAACGTGCACTACTAGTAGCCAACACCTTCACTTTCCATGGGGCATCGTGCCTCCTTCGGGCCTGGTCGCCCAAAGAGGGGTCTTTTAGGAAATAGAGAGTATGGCTTACCTTTAACCACATCCCACTCCATGCATGGTCCCCTAAGACTTTTCGGCGTCTAGCGGCATCGTGTGGGTCTCTGGTTTCAATACATTGGATTTCGATTGAAACTCTCCCTCTTGGATCAATACATGTCCTGTTGGAAGACCTGGACTCCGCCTTATTCCCAAAACCATTTGGCTTGAAGTAAAAGACCTTTACTACCCAATCTCGGCCTCTTAGTCGTCGGCCTTCCCCCCTTCTCCTCATTTCTTCCACCACACTGGCCCTACTAAACCACCAGATGCTCTTTCTAATTCTTGGACCTTGGTTTCCAAGAAATCTCGCTTCCGTAGGATGCTCCACCGGCGTCCACTAGATCTAGCCGGAGGCAAAGTGCGCCATCAGCATCTTCATCCGCCTCCACCTTCGGCCCCGCCGCCCCCTTCCGACCCGGTTAGTTGTGAGCCCGCCATTCCTGGCCCATCTCCCGATGTCTCCCCTCCTTGTCGTCGACCCGAAAAAGAGGCCAGGATTGACTCACCTACCTGCTCTCTCTCTTCGGGTCCCCCCCTGAGGACCTAGGCCCATCCGGCTCGAAGTTCCCACCCTCCCCGCCTTTTTCCTCCCCCGTCAATCGTTTTCCCCCTCGTCTTCCACACCCTACACATGTCCCCTCCCACCGTCTTCCTTTGAACACCTGTCGCAGCCTCTGACTCCTTAGGGCCACCTGTCCCCATCTTCGTCAGAGGCCTTGCTGCATCTGCCGTCATCCTTTACCAACCCCTTGTCGGCACCGACTTGCTCTGCCCTTCATCCTCCCTCATCGCTTCCCCTATTTCAACGGTCACCTGCACTGCCTCTACCCGCCTTTCCGTCGCCGACAGCGCCTCGATCTGCGGACGCTCCAACCCACCCGCCGCCCTCTCCGTTCCCCTTGTCCACCTGTCACCCGCGAAGCTTCCTCCTATCCACCTATCACCCGCACAACGTTTTCCTATCCACCTGTCACCTCCCACGCCACCCCCCACTGATGATGTGGCCACATTACCCTCCTCTTCTCTCTCTACTCCCCCGCCGCCCTTCTTACCCAACTCCATTGGGCAGTCGCGTCATGACTCTGCATCCCCAGATCTCCCCTCTCTGGATGGGGACACCTACCAAATCTCCCATCCCCCTTGCGTTTCGTCAAGCTTTCTACCCTTCTCCTCTTTGGTCTATCCCCAAGACAATCCAACCCCCCTGTTTTCTAAACTCTCTCCCTCCTCTCCCTCCTCGCCCGTGCCTTTGCAACTTCTACCTTCCGCCTACCCTCCTCTCTTGCTTCTCTCCTGTCCTTCCCCTCCTCCCCTATCCCTTACTTATCTCCCCCTTAGTCTTTCAGATTTCCTTGAACCCTCTCTGAAGCCCAAGGAATCTACTGACCTTCGTCTCATCCTTCTCATGGACAGAAACCTTCTTCCCCAAGTCATTGTGATGGCTCAAACCTTAGACCTCATTGCCCCGGACACTGCCTCTATCTCTTCCCTGCTAGCCCCTCATCTGTCCTATACCCCGCACCTGGGAATTCTTTTCACTATATTGCCCACTCTATCACTATGGCCTTGATATTGTCCTTGATTGCCCAAGGTTGAGTTCCTTGCCTTTGGAAATTCGTCTATCAGGCTCCAGCCATATGATTCATAATAGGCAGATGATGGTGCTCTCCAAAGAACCAAGTCTGCATGGATACCAACATGCATGTCAGTACCATTACACTTCGCTGTTTAATACGGTAGGTTGAAAGCCAGACAAGACTTTTTCAATGCATCTGTACAGTCTTTGCTTCTTAAGTTTTCTTATGTATTAAAAATTCTGACTCTTAAAATGTCAAGGTTCTGTGGCTTAAAGGTTGGACCAAGCCGAACCTTAGGAAGGAGAGAGAGAGTTCGTGGGTTTGAAACCCGCCGGTGGGTGGCAAGTTATTTAGAACTTTTTATCATATTGTTAATGCAGTATTACTTTAGATATAACTATTTAGTTTCATGTATTATCATCATCACAAGGGCTCCTCCTTAGATCGGACGTAACTCTTCCAAGAGGTTTCATGTTTGAATTTGGAGCGGGGTTCAAAATTTTGCACGAACATTGTTGGTGCCATTTCTTATTTACAAGGTCAAAATTTGGGACAAAAAATTGCTGGCGCGATTAGGTCTTCTTGGTTTAGAATTTTGAGCAGGACTCTAAATTTTGAATGACATTAAGTGACGCCATTTTTTATTGATGCCATGTATTTTATTGGTTCATGCTCTGCTTTGGGAGGTACTTATATATAAGTCTTCATA